GAAAGAGTAGAGCAATGCTCCTACTCGCCGAACACAGAGAGGGATGTGAATGACCTACACCCACGTTACTAGCAGAGGGAGCGGGAGCGAGAGCACTGCCTACACCTAGCTAGATTAAACGAAGAAGCTTAACAGGGCAGCTTAGCCAGGCAGCTGCTGCTAAGAATCAAGCAGCACGCAGAACACGCCAGATGTTAGCCAAGTGGCCGCTGCTAATAGTCAGAGTGATACGTTACAGGGCAACGTTACCGGGAGCGGGAGCGAGAGCACTGCCTTCACCAGCTGAGTTAAATAATGAAGCTAAACAGTCCTTGCAAGGTGTTAGTCAAGCGGCTGCTGCTAACAATCAAGCAAAATCAAGTCAAAAAACACAAATGTTTAAGACCAGATAACTAGCTTCCAAAGAAGAGAACAGCACAGAGCTGTAGTTACAGTAGTAACCATGGCCAGTGCCTACACGGCCTAGAACCGTAGTTACAGTAGTAACTATGGCCAGTACTTACGCGGCTTAGAACCGTAGTTACAGTAGTAACTATGGCCAGTACTTACATGGCTTAGAACCGTAGTTACAGTAGTAACTATGGCCAGTACTTAAACGGCTTAGAACCGTAGCTACAGTAGTAACTATGGCCAGTACTTAAACGGCTTAGAACCGTAGTTACAGTAGTAACTATGGACAGTACTTACACGGCTTAGAACCGTAGTTACAGTAGTAACTGTGGACAGTACTTACGCGGCTTAGAACCGTAGTTACAGTAGTAACTATGGCCAGTACTTACGCGGCTTAGAACCGTAGTTACAGTAGTAACTATGGCCAGTATTTACACGGCGTAGACCCGTAGTTACAGTAGTAACTATGGCCAATACTTAAACGGCTTAGAACCGTAGCTACAGTAGTAACTATGGCAAAAGTAACCGTGGCCGGTGAATGGCCACACATGCGGAGCACACAGCACACACAGTGAAGATTGTTCTCCGCATCTACCCATCCTAGTGCTAGGAGACTAGCACTAGGAGCGGTAAATACAACAATATAGCGCTACTGCAGTCGCTGAGAATGAAGCTTAACAGTACAATCCAGCAAGACCAAGTCAAAACCCAATGTTAAGACCAGATAATTAGCTTCTAAGGAATAGAACAGCCCGCAAGAACCATAGGCCATGGTTACAGCAGTAACCATGGCGTAGTTGCATGGCCTAGGACCGTAGTTACAGTAGTAACTCTGGCCAGAACTTACCTTACTCTCTGTACCTAACAAAAAACAGGCAAAATATGGCACTGTGGGCTTTCCATACAAATTAAATGAGAGACGCAGCTAAAGCTGGGAACTCAAATGCTAAAGATAGCTCGGGCACAACGCCACAAGCAGAACTTTCAAAAGAGCATCATAAGGGCAACTTTATGGGAGAGGAGGCGAGAACACTGTCGTCACCAGAAAGTAGCCAGACAATAACAAGACAGCAATCAGGACAACTTAGCTGGGAGAGGGTGCGGGAACACAGCCATCACCACAAGTTGACACGAACCTGTCCGTCGAGGCTCTGCACGGCGCACAGCCGGCTACAGCTCCTGGAGGACGCGTTAACAACCCGTAGCTCTGACTATCAGTCGCGAAGCTGCACGCGGCCAGCTGTATGCAGAGAAATCCCCTAGATCAAACGTTCAAACCTGAACGCTGTAGGCTGCAAGAATGCAGCCACGGTACTCTCGCGCAGCGAGAAGATGAAAGGAACAGATCCTCTGACGACACCGGCTGATATAGCCGGTGTCACGTGGGTCACAGGTGACTTTGTTGTTATTGGCACTCAAGCTGCGCATGCGCACGATGGACATATCCAGTGCTAAAGCACCGCCTCTGGCGGTCAGTAGGGACGAAATAGAACTCACCTTCTTGGCAAAAACGGTATTGTTTTTGAAGTGGTGGAGAGACAATGCACAGTTTTACCCACTGCTGTCACACATGGCCAAAGCATATCTCTCTGTCCCAGCAACATCAGTACCAAGCAAGAGAGTTTTTCCACAGCAGGGGATATTGTAAACGCCCAAACATCCCAGCTTCTACCTGGAAATGTGGACATGCTCATATTCCTAAAAGATAACCTTGATGATGCTGAGTGAGTGAGTTAGTGAGTTAGAGTTGAGTTACTTGAAAAACTAAAGTGAAACTTGATTTATTCTATTGCAGGGTCTGATTATTATATTGTTGACACTTTAAAATACTACTATCCTACTAAAATGCTGTACAAATCAGATTTAGTATTCACATTTTTTTTTCCTTTATTTTTCAATATCGCGATAAATATCGCACCGTGGACTTTTCATCGCGATATTATCGTACCGTGAGTTTTTGGTATTGTTACATCCCTAGTATCACGGCATTTCGTGTTATAGTCACGACATTGAATCTATTGATTGAGTCATTTGCTCCGCTAATAATCAATCAGATCGATGGATTCCAGAGAAGAGGAAACTTTAAAGGCCTTTTTCTCAAGATGATGACTCGGTGACAGTCATTATATAATGTGACATATTTCGCTTAATATTTGGAATACAATCGGGTCAATGCGACTGATTTCGATGGAGCAGGTCACATATTAAGACCAAAACTCATGTACAACAACTTCCTTACTTGCAATAAATAAGCACTAATTAGAGGGTTATTGAGGAAAAACTGGGCTGGATTAGTTTGCTGGTTAAGAGGGGTTTTGGACACTTTAGCTGGTCAGGATAGCTGGTTTGGTCACAGTGGTCTAGCTGGTCACCATTAGCTGGTCGGGATAGCTGGTTTAGCTGCTAAAAGCTGGTGGTCACAGTGGTCTAGCTGGTCAGGATAGCTGGTTTGGTCACAGTGGTCTAGCTGGTTACCATTAGCTGGTCGGGATAGCTGGTTTAGCTGGTAAAAGCTGGTGGTCACAGTGTTCTAGCTGGTCACCATTAGCTGGTCCGACTGGTATGATCTTGAGTAGAACTTTAACTGGGATTACTTGATGGTTAAGCTGGTCATATATGATGATGAAACACTCTCACCCAATTGCAGTAGCTCAATGAACATCTATCATTTCAGATCAGAGCACCTACCTTACCAGAAAGGTACCAGAATGTATAGAATGTCTGTAAATAAATACTCATACATCAAATGATTAGAAGCAGGAAAATAATTTATAACACACAATGAACATTAACACACATTTGAAAACATTTTCAAAACACCCATTACTTCATATTTTTAAGCAGTTTCCTTCAATTGTTTCTTTCCGTTTTTCACAAGGTCCTGTATTTTTTGTGAAATGTAGTAACCGGCCAACTTCTCCCTCTCGGTCTTCTCCACGTTTTGTGAATTCAGCCATCCTCTGAAGCACTCTTGAAAAGAGAAAGGAAAAACAGATTACATTTTAGCTTTGTGTTATGATTACTTAAATATGTGCACTGTGAGATGAAAAAGAAAAATGTATCAAGTTTAGTTTTGAACATTCACTGTGATTGGGTCTATTGTCCACGCAATACACCGTATTTAATTTTTTATTTAATATTCTGTTCTTGTAAATATCATATTCTATTATTTTACATGTATATAAACTTTTTGCACTACTTTTTATTTTGTATTTTTGTATTTTATTATATATGTTGCATTGTTGGAGTAGCTCAGGTCAGAAGAATTGCATTGACATTTCTACACTGTAGCTGCTGAGCATATGATGATAAAACCTTTGAATCTTGAATCCAACACTTTTTTCAGTGGAAAATCCTAAATTGTAGGATAGTTTGGCCATAATAATGCTTTATGATTACATTTCTAGTGAGAAGTGTATATTTTACTTTCAGAATCTACCTCCAGTGGATGTGTAGGATCTACAGTATGATAGATATATTACTTTACACCCGGAAGTATGTATTGTCATTCTTATTGTCGATAAATTGAGGGATATACACTATATTTTATTAACACCAGTATGTACTTTATACATCCACCTCGAGTGTTTGTCTATGCACCGGAAATAATTTAATTTTAAAGTTCAACGGCATATTATATAAACTATATCAGCGCCACACCTGCGTAACACATGGTGCCTCTTATCTGAACCATTTTTTAAGCGATTTGTAATCTATTCTTGTCGACTTGCAGCCTAAATACAAAGATAAATCCACTCTCCTACCACTGCTTACCTCTAATGAGCCTTGGTAGAACTAGTGTCCGAGTCATGGGGTCCAGAACGGACTGAAGACATGTGGAACAGAGGACAGGCATGGTTCGATGTACAGGGAACTTTTTGAACCTTTCTGCAGCGATAAATAAAGAAAACAAAGAAGACATTATTAATAATAGTAATGAAGGTAACAACAATAATATTAGTATAACTATTTATATAGCACTTACACAATTGCAAAGTGATTCTCACAACAAAAATAAAGAACAAAACAATATCAACAATAAAAAAACAAATGATTATAGGAATGTTAAGAGACAAAGAAATGATAAACATTCTGAGAGGCCGACTACAAAAGGTAGACTCAATGGCTCTTGATGACATCAATGAGCAGTCCCAATAGATGCTGCTGTATAAAAAGAAATAGAATAGGTCCAGATTTCTTCTATTTTGTGTTGGATGATTTGTTTTATTGATTGCTGATGGATGTATATATATAGGGTTTATTCAACAGCAGTAAAGCATTAAGTTGCTAAATTAACGTACACTGAACTGTAAAACAACTTACCACTATTTAGGAAAGGCTCTGATCAGGAGGGTTGACTAGTAGGACAGCAAAGAGGTGGTGTCATGTACAACCATTGGTAGATGTTACACCTGAAAGAAAGATAAGGAAATAAGAGAAGACAGGAGGACAAACATCCTCTTAAGTAAAAGACCAAATCATGTCAAGCTTTAACCTGAGCCTGTTTTTTCAGTCTTTACAATGCACTGTTGGAAAATACCTTCCAAAGGCTACATTCAAACTCAATACCATAAATAACTGGGTACCAAAGTGCTTTACCTGATAGAACACGTTCCACACGGAGCAGCAACCATCCGGCTCGGCCTTTTGCTGCATATCATCTCCTCCCTCTCCACTGTTTCCAGTAGATCTCTACTGTCCAATAAAACTGAAATTCCCCAAAAAATCATATTAAAAAAAGTTAAAAACAATAACTTGCTTTTGGCATTGAAATAGATTAGATTAGATTAGAATCTCACCTTTTTCCTGGATGTCAGAAAGGCGTTCCCTTCAAGTCCGCAACCAGTCATAGGGGTTCAAATGCAAAGCCTGAACGATGACAAGAGCGAGATTTACATTTTACAATTATATTTTTAATTCATACCAGAGCAGTGTGTACGACATGCAAAGAACAGATCAAATCCCCTGACAGACTCACACACTTTGGTGATGTCCTTATCTGATAATGTTTCATTTTTTAGCAGCAAAGTAACATTACTCAAAGTATATGTATGTTTTGCATCTCCTCAACAATGGTCTGTATCATTGAGTAGAAAAAAACTGTCCCCACAATTTCAGGTAGATTAACACACATTTGTAAGAAAAGTTTACAATGAAGCACAAAAACCCTCTTTGTATTAAGCTAGCTGCCACAGAAAGTACAGCTTAACATGCTAACCTTTGGTGGAGAGCTACAGTTAGCTAACTTCATGTTCAACACAACACCTCTAATGGCATTACATTGACGATTTTAAACAAAACGTAACTCTCTCAACTTGTAAGATAACGTTAAGTTAACTTACAACTTATAGCTGCATCACGTTTTTCAGGGGAAACACAAACTGCAGAAAACGTTAGCTGCTAAATGTTGTTAGCTAAGACAGCTAGCCTCCTAGCAAACGTAAGGTTAAGTTAACATTAACGTAACGTTGTAAGAAAGCAAAACGAACCTTCGAGAAAGGTTTTACTCTCAGACTTGGTGAAATTGTGTAGTGTTGCTTACCTCCAGAAGGACTTTTAGTGCGTTTCCCAGTAGACAGAGCTGTCAGAGCGGTGCCTCTCATACCCCTTTCACACCGGCGCTTTTCCAGCTCCTGCTGGGAGCTAGAGCCTGAAAAGCGCCGGTTTTTCCTGTTCACACCGCAGCGGCGGCGCGTCATAGCTCCGGAATGCGGTTCACTTCCAGCTCCAAAAAATTGTCGGTCCAGAGGCAAGAGCTTCGGAGCTATGACGCGGCGTCGCTTACGTCTCTTACGTCGAGGCGTGCAGGAAACCTTACTTTGATCATCCGTTCGCTGTTATTGATCATTGTGGAGATACATGGGCTGTACAGGTTGTCATGTCCGACTATCAGAAGTAGAATCATAATGAAAAATACGCCGGTAAAATGTGCCTATAGAAAACGGCTTAGCAAGTAGTCAGTTTAGCTTCGGTTGCTATGCTAACATCACCCATGTTATACCAGAGAAACTTTCATAACAGCGCTGTGATGCCAAACAGCGTCAATTCAGACTGACACACATTCACTTAAGGGGAACTGGGGATATGTATCAGCTGCTTGTGTGACAGTCAGACAGTGAATACTTTAGAGCCGTGTGAGCTAACCCGGAGCTAACGGGACAATAAACTCCCGTGGAAGTGCAGCCACTGCAGCGGTCGGTAAATGCCGCTGAAACACATTAATAAACAATGAACCACGGCACTCTGGAAAAAAGTATAAGGTTGGAGAAGTCGTTATTTAATTTAATCTGGCTTCGTATGATTAAAAGCAACACGACCCGATGCAGTCCCCGGCCCGTTGTTGTTGTGGGAGAAAATCAGCGACGTAAACTGTGACGTCATGACGCAGCAGCGGCAGCTCTGGGCAGTGTGAACAGAGCGGGAGCTGAAAAGGGAAACGGGAGCTGAACCAGAAAAGCTCTCGCGAGGAGCTAGAAAGTGAAAAGCGCCGGTGTGAAAGCCGCATCAGAAGAGCAGCCGCTGGGCGGAGTCACAGAGACGTTCAACTGATCTTCACTCCTCGACCGTTAGTGCCAGTCAAAACATACCGCCTTGTTTCAACCACTGCCGTCTCGCCGTTCCCCCGTGTCCCGCCCTCTCTGTCTGTCTGTGTCTATTTCAGTTTCACTAGCAAGACTGCTGGTAGACCAGCTTCACCAGCTTCACCAGCTTCACCAGCTTCACCAGCATAGACCAGCTAAAACCAGCATAGACCAGCATGACATCCATGCTGGGCTATGCTGGTTTAGCTGACCAGGCTGGTCTTGAACCAGCAAGAACAGCCTGGCCAGCTTGTCCAGTCTGGTAAACCAACTAAACCAGCCTAACACCAGCCTAAAACCAGCTAAAACCAGCTAAAACCAGCTAAAACCAGCTAAAACCAGCTAAAACCAGCAACCATCTTAAGCTGGTCTATGCTGGTTTTTTCAGCAGGGGTTGCTTGTGTTGGTGGATAAAGCTACTCCGTGTGTGGTGTCGCTGTGCCGCTGTCACGTCTGTTCCTTGATCTCTGCGTCACCGGCCGATTTGATATTCGTGTGACAGAAAAAAATAATAAATAAAAACACTTTATTGTCCAGCTGCGGCCGAAAAATCAAGAAGCAACATTACTACGCATTAATCGATTATGTTATGTCACTGCAACGATGCAGAATCGTCCATGTCGCATCGCAATGCATCGTAGAAACGATTAATTTCAACACCCCTAAGGCCTATCGTATTATGTTGTATTGGAGGGGGTGGGACATCCATGTTTTCGATTGAATTGAAGTGGGGAGAGGTGTATTTATTGTCGTCTGATTTTTTCTACAGAGTCTGTGAACCACGAGCGGCGAGCTACTGAAGCTGCGCCCGGTAGCTCGCAGGCAGCTTTTCAGTAGATCGACGTTTTGGAGACCCCTGATTTAGAGGAAATAATTACATCATCGCACTATATATTATAAAATAAAGAGCTGTATATTTTAACCAAACTCAAAAGGGTTTGACATGATTGTATTGAGATGTAATTTGACATAGACATCGAAGACAGTTTAATAACTAAGAAGTTAAAGAGTAAAAATCCTAACATGTTTCACCCAGTAAACATGATCTGCCTCATGGTTAGTGTAAAACTTAACTCTGTGAGGAGGACTGAAGTCAAAGATGAAAGTGAGGAAGACGAGGTCAGGGCAAAAGTTGGAATGCATCCATAAATCAGTGACCTAACCTCAATTCTTCAAACATGCAGTATATTTTACAGGCTTTTTTCCTTTCATCACTTTGATCTCTCTCTGCCTGTATCAAAGAGATTCAAGCAAAGTGGCAGGTAAATAAACGGTTATATTAAAAAACCTTAAATAATCGAATGTAGGGGGTCTTTAAAGAATCCTTGTATGTCCATGAATTGTGTCCATTTAATAGATAACATATTCTACATCTGTGAAGGCACAGTTTTTGCACAGTTTCTATAAATAAAAACATTAAACCAAATTAGACCAATAGAATCAGTAAAATACTATTAGTATTGGGAATTATTGGCAGGATTAGCATTAGTAATGGTTATATTACTAATACAACTTTGAATATTTGAGTATTGTATTCAATAAAATTATTTAACCTAGGTGCCAAAAATACAATGTTGTATTTAATTAACAAACTATGTAACTGAACCTTCCAGAAGTGGTAGCTGGTTGATGTCTTAACACATGATGCACTTTTCAGGTTCTAAGAGAGAGAGAGAGGACTCTCCTGCACCTTGTTGTGAAAACAGCTCCATATAACCGTTAGCGCAGCTAGCTAACCAGATGCTAACAACAATAATCCCCGCCACCCGTGCGCTCTCTCTCTCTCTTGCTCGCTCGCTCACACAAAATGCGCTCGTGCCACACACACAGGGCCAAGCTTGAATGACACACAGAGACCCAGAAGTACTTTTACTACTGTATCCTATTCTTTTCGATGGCTTTATTGTCAGTATGTCAGATGAAAAGACCGCCACTGGGCTTACAACTAACGACACAGCCACGCCAAAAACACAGCATGTGTACAGCTCATGGTACAGCTCCTTATGTGTAATGCCATTTTTGAAGTGCCAGAGCGACGTTCCGGTGCGTTCCGGCAGCACTACACCTCTCAGAAATATACTATTAAGAGCGATAAGAAGTTGCTCAAATTATTGTGCTGCCTAAAGTTTATGGCATTCTTATTTGATACCACCTTCTACTCTTTATGCATTAAGAAACACTTATTTTTGTAATTATTAATGACAATGCTAAATGTTTGAATTAAGTATTCTCTAAAAAATAAACAAAAATACATGCAATCAGTTTAGCAATCTGATTGCAAGACTTATTAGCCTGGATCAGAGTTGGGTGTAACGCGTTACAAAGTAACCACACTACAGTTAGCCTACTAACATACAGAATTACTAGATTCTCCCTTTGACAGACAAGAGGGATTTCCGCCGCAGGTTTATATTTACGTAACATTTGCGCGACTTGCGCGTCCACATGCATGAGTCAACAGCAGTGTTTCCCCTACCATTGTCTTGGCGGGGCGCTGCGCCCTGCCAAAGGAGCCCTGCGCCCAGCCTGAAATTCAAGGTGTTTTATTTTTATTTTTTTTAATTAAAAAAAAAAATATATATAGCACCAAATTGCAACTGAAGTAATCTATCTACGGTCACTTTTCACATTGAACATGTGCTCTTTTATTAAATAAACTAAACGCCTATGTTATTTATCCAATGTATGTGCATGTTTCAGTGTCCACTGCTTTGCGTATTCTCATTCTCCCTCTGCTCCCCACACACACACACACGAATGCACACGCTCACAATCAGAGACAAGAGCGGAGGAAAGGAGGAGAACAACAAAGTGTAAAAAAGTCAAACAAATCTGCATTATTGCCCCGAGCTCTGCTGTCTGCCCGTTTGTGTCCCCCCCAGTTTCAAATTAGTTTATTATTATTTTTTAACCTCAAGCCGTTATCGTCACGGAGAAGGACACACACAGCCTGCCCAGGTGGACGTGCGCGAACGCGACAACAAACGCAGCGTGCGCATTCTAGAAATAGCTCACAGATGATGAGCAGGTATCGCGGTTTTGAACTACAGTATTGAATTTGACAGAAAACAATGAAACGCCAGCAGAAGAATAGTCTAATGAGTTGGGTGAAAAAAAAGACAGGAGATGTGAGTTGGTTTATTCAGTAAATTAGCTCAGGATAATTGGATGTTCTGTCTACACCTGTTGATGTGAGGCTAATGCAGGATTTGCTAGCTTGATGCTACCGGCATTTAGCGGCAGTGACTCAACAAATTGCCTCTTAAAATGTATCGTCAGCAATGTATGACAAGCAGACTGCTTGTTTAATGTTAGACTCACACCAATAGCTCAATATGATCATAACACGATTGCTTTCATATCAGAGATCAGATGAGGTGGAGCTGCCTCCAGCAATAGAGGATGAGGCAGAGAGAAGCAGCAGCAGCACAGGGTTGCAGCAGGTATGTTATATGCTGTAGTCAGGTGATTTAAATGTATCAATGAAAGGAAGAAGTGTAGGCTACATGATAAGAAGGGAATACAGTTTGAATAAAAGTAATACAGTACAGTGTAACACTGTACTTTATTACTTTTTAATGTACAAATACTTTGTTACTGTACGATAACAATAACAATAATCCACAGCTCCTCTCTGCTCCAGAGAATAACAAAAATAAAAAATTCAAAGCACCCTGCCAAGGCAGTAAACCTAGGGGAAACACTGAACAGCGATAACTTTTGAGGGGTGGAGGTATGCCCACTATTTTGAGTTCGTCCGAAGAAAGGACAGGAATGTGACGGTGAGGTGCAAACTGTGTCCAGGCCAGAAGCTTTTATCCACTGCTGCAAACACAACATCAAACCTCAACAAGCACCTGCAAAGACAACATGCTAACGTGAAGCTAATAACTAAGGAGGACCTCCGAATCCAGAGTGAGGATGTCGAGGAAAGTAACGCACTGTAGGTGCGCCGCATTTGCGCTTCAGATGAGGCTC